GGCAAGCCTCAATTTGAATTTATCTACTATTGGTTTCCACATCCTTTTTCTTTTGGGATTAGCTCCCAGCGGCAATCCAAGATACTTGAGTGGTAAACTTTGAGTCTTGCAATTCAACAGAGATGCAAACTCCTCTAGAGTATTGCCAGGAATACCAACCCCTCAAAGCACGCTCTTATGATAGTTGATTTTGAGACCTGACACTACTTCAAAGCACCTTAAGATCCTTTTCAAAGTGAGAACTTCCGATAACTCTGCTTCACAGAACAGAAGAGAATCGTCTGCAAATTGGAGATGAAATCCAACAGTCTGTATATATGTATATATATACAGACTGTTGGATTTCATAAATTTGAAATTGTTAATGCTCAATCTTGTTTCAAATCTTCTTTGATAAAGCATTTGAAATTTGCTTAGCCCAAATCTTGTTCCAAATCTTTTGTTGCTAACTATGTTGATTAAGATCATAGGGCTTAGCCCAATTGAAGCCACTGAAAGTTACCGGGCGGCTGGGAGGGGGCGGTGGAGGCAGGTTAGGGACATCTGGGGGAGGTGAGGGAAGAAGTCAGGATGGTGAGCAAGGTAGGTGAGGAGGGAGGTGGCGGAGGCGAGGAGATGGTTAGGGGTGGTGGAAGGATAAGGGTTAGGGTTTAAGGATAGAAGATGAAGGGTAGAAATGACTTTGTCCATTTTGATTTTACTTTAATTTTTTTTAAAAAAAGTATGTCCACTCTCAAAATTGGCAAGTGTAGTACACCTTCCATCAATTTAGATGGAAAATATAACGGTTACAGTTTGATCCAAAACCACAAGGAGTCTTTTTGCATATAGTTGAACTGTCAGTTGGGTAAAGTATTCCGAACTCAAATCCTAAGAGGGTTAAGTGAATTTTTGCCCTCTATATTATTTATTATTTTCAGAAAATAATGACACGGAACCTATGTTTATACAAAATCTTTTGTTAAGTGTCTGAAAATAAAAAATAAAAAATTTAAAAATAAAATTTGACTTCGTTTCGGAAAAGGTATACTAATCCTACCAAAGCCTGCCAAAATGTGTAGATCCAATTGCAATAATGGCTCCCAATACTAAAAACCTTCTTCTTTAGATTAAATAAAACAAATTTAAGCATTGTCATATAAATAGAATTTTTAATCTTTCTTCTTTTTTTTATCATCTTTTTGCAAGTGGTAGACAGAAAATAGTATGCTGAATTCTATTAAAGCTGATAGGGTTGTTTTGGAATAACGAAAGGCGATCAAAGATGAGGTCTCTTATCAATTCGAGTGTTTGTTCTTTGAGCAGTGGGAGAAGTAAGACCTAAACTATTGGGTTATCGTTGGAATCAATGCTAGAAGAAGCATTTTCAAAGAAGGAGATTTGGGAAGCTATCAAGTTAGCCATGGAAATAAAGCCTCGGACCCAATAGGTTTAATTTTTGGGATTGGCTTCCAATCTGTGATCGGACTGAAGGGTATTGTTGGGTTCGTGAAGGCCCACCACGGGTCTCGTTTCGTTAAGTCGAATCATTCAATGTGTAGAACTCATTAAATATTATATGCCTGTAAACAATCACGTTGATCAGATATTGATAGCTGTTTGATCGGAGTAGATTTGTATAAAAAAATGAACATGAAAAAATAAATGGTTGACAGAAATCTGATTCGATCAAATAACTATTGATATCCGATTAATGTGGTTTTTTACAAGAATATACTACTCGATGAGTTCTATACATGTAACAGTTCGAATTATCGAAATGAGACAAAAAAATGGGCCTATGGCCCGAATTGGGCAGTCTAATCTTGATCTCAAACATAAGACAAGCTTGACCCATCAAGTTATTTGTGTGAAGAACACCAATAAATTTCATATTCCCAATTTGTCTTCTTTTTTTTTTCTTTTTTTCAAATTATCATCTCAATTTAAGAGAACGTTTAGACTTAATAGACTTATTTTGAAATTGATTTTGGTGATTTGAACCATTTACTTTGTTAGATTCGTTGAGTAAAATATTCATATAAAAAATTAAGATGATTCGATATCGATAGTTATATGTTTGAATTATATTTATTTTAAAAATATGTACAACAAATATAATTTCAAGAATAGTCATCTATTTTTTTAAAATACAAATTTGATTCAAACATATAGTTATCAATATCTAATCATATTAATTTTTTATATGAATATTCTACTTAACGATTCTTAAAATATGAATTGTTCGAATTATCAAAACAAAATATGTGATATGCTCTATAGGCTCCTCAAATTTTCTCATATTGAAATGTGAACAAGTGAGAAACTTAACCTCCCATTTTATACACCAATTAGTCCTTTCCAAATTATAATGAACCCGTGAAGGCCCTTGTGGCATTTTGGTAAGTAATTGCGCCACAATGAGGAAAGATCGAGAGTTTGAACTAATGGACCAGCAATGATCCCTTTAAGTGATACATTTTTTTTTTTTTTTTTTTTGTTTTTTTTTTTGGGGGGGGGGGGGGTGAATAAATCATAAATACTTGATAGTTTATGACATTTTTATTTATTTATTTATTTATTTTGGTTTGTTGTATTTAGATTGGAGATAGAGATCCTGACGAGAAATCAAAAAACAATGAGGATGGTAGTTTTGCAAAGAGTGAAGCAATATTATAAGGAAGGTTGTGTATGCATTGGTGGAAACATAAAGAAATGCAATCCAATTAGCAGTGTAACCACAATGTGTGCCCTAATCTTCTCATTATTCTTCCTATCTCAGACCCAACTCTCTTCAATCTCTACCCTATTTTCAGCCATTTCAACACCTTGGACCCATCAAGGTAATTTTCTCTCTCCATCTTCCATACTCTTTTGTTTTGTTTTTTTTTTAACTTGTTCTTTTTGGATTGTTTTCTTTAATTTTCTTAATTTATAAGGCATTCACTTATGTTGCCTTTAGATTTTAAATTTATAAAGAAACAAAAAATAAAATAAAATAAAAATAAAATAAAATTATACATTTGCAATTTGTTTCATTTCTATATTGAGAAACACATCTACCCATCTAATTTTACATGATGCAATCTCAGAGCTGCCCAAATTCATATTGGGACAACCAAATAGGTCTTTACGAGATAAAACATTAATCAATTACTATTAAATTTCACTCATTAGTTGGGTAAAAATGCCTCAATGTTTTCTTATGAAAAAAGATAATGCCTTCTATTTTGTAAATTATTTAGGGAAATGTCCAGGTACCCTTTTTTGGTGTACAATATACACTTTTGTAACTAACTCCACAAAATGCCATAAGTAAAATATCACAAAACTCACAACAAATCACCGTAAAATGTTCCTAATAATGAACCACAAGTTCAAAATTAACCAACCATAAAATCTCGTAACTTCACTTTTATTTATAATACACACATTCGTAACTAAAATCATAAATTTTCATAATTTACTGTAACATCCCCAATTATTTAATGGAACTGACAATTTAGTAAATGAACCTAAAGTTACCATGGAAATATGGCTTACCCTTGTTCCCTTTTTATTTTTATTTTTATTAGAACTTACGGATTGAGGATATTTTGCTTCATTACTATCATTTGACTATATCTTATTTATAGTGATTGTAGTTCTTATACAACAAAACTTTTCATAGAAAATTACTACCAAATGTTGAATCCTATACAAGTAGAACTTCTATATAAATTTTCATATGAAATGATATCACATGAAAATAAAAGCCTTATCACCATAGTTTATAATAGGGGTGATCATGGCTTCGTCCAACCCGTTCAACTCGACCGAACCTGATTGATTTTGGACGGATATGTGTCTTTCGGCGGACGAATACAGATAAAGTATTTCAAAATCTACAGATACGGTTCGAATGATGAATCAACCATCCCACACTCGCATGAACCCGATCCGCCCTTGGATAAAGTTAAAAATAAATAAATAAATAAAAAGAAAGAAAGATATTGCTAACAAGTAACAACATAGAGTAGAAATACTAAAATATATATTTTTGTAAAATAGAAAACAATACCTTAAAAATATGCATGCGTGGTGCCATGACCTATTATAGACAAATAATACATATTTTTTCAGATTACTAATTATTAGAGATTGTAAAAGTTATGAATTATAATTCAAAAAAATGCCAAAAAATTTTAAAGTCCAAACCGCCAAACCGATCACATCCATCCGCCAACCCACACAACCCACTCAATCCGCATCCGTCAAACCGGTGGACAGATGTGGGTTGATTTTTTCTAATCCGCCTAATTTTGGACAAATGGCGGATGAGATGCCACCCGATCCAATCCGATCCACGATCACTCCGCCTAATTTTACAAATGACATTGTCTCCTCATTTTAGATAAATATTTTTGTATGATTTACTTAGCATTTTGCTCACGGTACTATATATTTTTATACAAACAATTTTTTTATTATTTTTTATGAATAAAAAGTAAATTTATTGGTGCAATATGAACAAGATACAAAGTAAGCATAAAATCAGATTACATCAAAGAAGCTATACAAACATAGTGGTTTACTTTACATATCACATTTGATCTAAGGAATATTAAAGAATAAATATTCTCTTTGTTAATCTATTTATTAAATTAAAAAAATTCTAAATATACAAGATTCTCATTCAAAATGATATGAAATTAACATTTTTCAAAATCACAAATCTTTTTTTATGGGCCTTTTGACCTAAAGTGATAGGACTTAGTTCCGCACCATCAATTAACATAAAATTCCTAAGAAATTTTTTATTCTGCATAAAATTAGCTTTAAACTTTGGAAAATGATTTAAAAACTTTATAATGAATACAAATCTGCCAAATCATTATGTACAAATTTTTTATTTTTTATTTTTTATTTTTACACGATTACTCTTAAATTTTTAGTAAAGTTTACTTATTTGTCTCCAAAACAATTCTGTCCACCCTCCCTAACCTTTCCATCTTTAAACATTGTCATAATCTTATGGTAGCATGAACAATACTTTCAGTGCTGCAGGACCACACTTTGCATCACCTGGCAACTCTCATTGGTCCAGCCCAATCAGCTGTGACCGCTCTCATGCAAACTATGATCTATGCTCAATCAATGGCCCAACAGTCTTGGACCCAACGGTTTCCACCTTCTATGTCATGGGCCCGACAACGTCAACGCTCATCGTGGAAAAGGTCAGGCCTTACCCGCAAAAGAACTCGAGTCAAACAATGGACCGGATCAAAGAGATCACTCTCACCTCAGGCCCGCCAAGCCCACAATGCATGATCAAACACAATGCACGAGCCCTAGTATTCAGTGTTGGAGGTTACACTTGGAATTTCTTCCATACCTTCATTGATGGGTTCATCCCACTCTTCATCACCGTCAATTCGATGTTCGCTGACCAAGACCTCGTCCTCGTTATCACCAACTCCGAGGATTGGTGGGTTCGCAAGTACGCAGACTTGTTTCACAGCTTTAGCAAACACCCGATAATAATACTCGAAAATGATACTTCCACCCATTGTTTTCCTTCGGCCACGGTGGGCTTAATATCACATGGTTTCATGACCATAGACCCAAAACAATTGCCCAACTCAAAAACTATCCTACAATTCCATGCAATTCTAGAGCAAACCTATTGCCATCGACCGTCTTTCCCTAAAAACCCGTCGCGGCCGAGGCTCATCCTAGTCACTCGCACTGGCGGACTAGGACGCGTGATCATGAACCAAGACGACATGAAAAGAGTGGCGGAGGAGGAGGGTTTCGATGTCATCGAATTTGAGCCAAAACATGAGACTCCGCTACGTGAAGCATGCGAGTTAGTAAGTTCAAGCCATGCAATGGTAGGGGTTCATGGTGCAGCACTCACTTATGGGTTGTTTCTCCGGCCAGGCTCAGTGCTCATGCAGGTGGTGGGGCTCGGACTGGACAACGTGGCAGAGTTGTGCTTCGGGAGTTGCTATAGGGACATGAAGTTGGAGTACATGGAGTACAAGATTGGAGTGGATGAAAGTAGCTTGGTAGATAGGTATGGCAAAGATGATGCAATTGTGAAGGATTCAAAGGCTCTTCAAGTGGAGTGGTATGATGCAATAATGGAAGTGTATTTGAGGCAACAAAATGTGAAATTGGATATGGTTAGATTTAGAGAGTATTTAAAGAAAGCATACGAAAAGGCAAAGATACTCATGCACAATGAGGGTTAGTGTGACTTATCAAAAAAAAAAACAAAAACAAACAAACAATGAGGGTTAGTGTGTTTATGATACCCTAATTGACAGCCTTTACATAGCAAGATGTGGACTTGCACTCTCTCTCTCTCTCTCTCTCCATATATACATATATTCACACTATCTCTACTATTTTATAAAATATACAGTAAACTTGGTATGAACACGTTCGTCACAGCTTTTTTTATTTCTAAACTACCCTTTTGTAACTCCAATTGTCGAATTCAAGCACACCCATGGATCATCATAATTTATAAATAAGACTCTTTTTGATGTATAATAAATTTCCAATCATGCTTTGTGATTAGAAAATGCAGTGATTTGTAATAGTGTGTATGAGCATGGGACTCTAAGCATATGCTTTTCTCCAACTTTGAAGTTTATACACTTCATGACAAGCTCCCCGGAGTATTTAGTACCCAAAAGCTAGCCATTTACTTACATCATATACAAAATATTCTAATAGAGAGAGTTTAGTTGCACATGAATCAAATCACATAATGAATCGCAGAATAGAGACCTTCATATACATATATACAAATTTAGCCAATGTGAACTCAATCAACCATTATTCTGCCATTCTTGAACAAAATGAATGTACATCTCCAAAGAGCTTAAGCTTGATTGAATGAGTTTTAGCTGATAAGAACATTACTCAATGGTGTCCTTGTCAATGTGTCCAATTCATTTGACTTGAAAATTAAGATCTACTCCAAATTGTGGAATCACTACAGGAAATGTTTGTTTCAACGGCATTTAAATAATAGCGTTTTCTTAAACGTCGTCTTTTTTAATATTCAACAGCGTTTTATAAACGTCGCCTTTTGTGCTAACCAAAACGGCACCGTTTAGCTGATAGAAAACGCCTCCGAATGTGTTATAATCTCTCACACCCTCTCTCTCCCTCTTGAGACTCTCATTCTTTACTCTTCAGTCTCAGAAAGAAGATGCCTCAAATCTCTCGCTCACTCTCTCGCTTCAGCTCGGTGATCCCTTAAATTTCAGAGTGATTTCAGAATAGGAATCGATTGGAATCATCTCGGTGATTTGATTTGTTTACCTATTCCATTTACATAGAAATCACTGAGAGGTAAGCCTATCTACATCAAGCTTCAGAATTGATTTCATTTACTGAGAGGTAAACCTATCTGCATCAAGCTCAGTGATTTTGATTTCAATTTCATTTTTTTTCTCTCTCGCTCATTTTCACTCTTCTCTGTCACCAGACTCATCTCTCTCTCTCTCTCTCTCTCTCTCTCTCTCTCTCTCTCTCTTCCCTCTGCCGATCTCATCCACACTCACCGCTGCTGCTATCTTCTCATTATCGCCTCAGATCGACAGCTACAGTGGTGGAAGAGGATGGCGGTGGTGGTGCTCGTTGAAGAAAAGAACAAGAGACGAGATCTGAAGGATTTCGAACTAATTAAAGCCAAATCTGAAGGTTTCAAAGAACACCTGATCCAAATATGGGGGTTTCGAATCAGATATATTGGTAAGCTCCTTCGAATCCTTCCGTTTTTAGTAAAAACCTCTTTCCATCAACTTCTGTATATGTTTGTATATGTGTGTGTGAGAAAGTGTTGAAGAAGAGGCTGTAGTGTTCTTGATTTTCCCCCTTTGTTTCTTGAATTCTATAAATCTCACCAACAACAATGGTCAAGTTTTATGTTTCTGTTCTCTATATATATATATATATATATATATGTATATCCACATATCCAAGATTTGTATATTTATATATTTGTTGTTTGTTGTTGTTTCAGCTGCTAATACAATTTTATAATTAAAAGGATTTAAATACACAATTTTAAAATTAAAAAAGTAAAATAATAGTCAATAATAATTGAGAGATTATTCATATGATTAACCTTTAAAAGTTGAAACAAATATGTAGTCATGGCATTTAACATCATGAATTCACTTCCACTTTTGAGCTTTTTATGTCTAAGATAAGACTAAATGTTCTCAATCAAAATAGACTTTATCAAAGTCAGTCATAGAATCACTTACATGAGATTTTTCCAACAAAGTAAGAGGCATCATTAGAGAATTGATAGTGTAGAAGTGTGTAATGCTTGGTTAGTATAGAAGTGTGTACTCGTATGATTCCTTGAGATTACACACATGCCTACTTAAGGATTGCTAGTCTTCAGATTTCAACATAAATGTGTTTTGAAATCTAAATGGTGTTTTTGTTTTGATGTAATGGCTGTTGGTTTTTGGAGCAGATTCCTTGTCCTCTCTTTGTAGTTTGTTTTTGCTAGTCAATAAAATTCTTCATTGCCGATCAAAAAAAAAGTTGTGTTTTAAATCTAATCATTGTTTAAGTGTTGACTCCCATAAGGGCTCAATCAATAATCCATCTATATCTTTATATGAGGCTTATTAGTAAGTTTAGTATTAAACACTATCCGATGAAGAACTTCCTTTATTGATAATAATTGCTCCTAGATAGTGCTACTGCCTTGGAATCTAGGGAGGAATAAATGACATCCTCTTTTTTCTCAGATTATCGACTTTAGCAGTTTTCCATAAGTTTTGGAAATTATTTTATCCAAACGCGCTAGAAGTTTAACTTTTAAGTTCTGATTGGGATTGCTGTATGGTTGTCCCATTGTTTGCATCTGAGAACTGGTTGTACTTTGTCAGTTGATCAATCAATTTTGTGTAGACGGTCTGAGGGATGCTCACGGGGTTAATCATGGCTTAAGGTTTTTATACTGGTTTTTCTTTTACTATTTTGTTCCTTCATCTTATACAAGAATGTAGCATGATTTGGGAAGAAAATGGAAGGAGAGAAGGGGGACAAAATTTACAACCCACCACAAATTAATGGGTCAATCTGCAAGTGGAAATGTAATTGGACTGTTTGTCTTGTTTTTATAGTCTTGTACAGTCAAAAGGGGATTGATTTTGTAAAAGATGAGATCAGTTTTATGCCTGTGGCTTAGTGGCAGTTAAATTTAGTAGTTCTCCTACTTAGTGCAGTCCTTCCCAGGGTAAGTCTGCAAATACTCTTGTTGGGGTTCTGTTCGGTAACTATTTATCTTGTGACTAATTTTTTTTTTTAAATATAGAAAATAGAAAACCTTTATTTATATTCTGGAAATCTATCATACCCTATTTATAATGGAACAAAGTTAATTTATTTTGTGGATGAGGACACAGAAATTGATGCTCCAGCACACTGTTACATTATTTGGACTGTCAAGTTTAGTAGTTAATAAGTTGTAAACATGATGATCTTATGATATTCATTTTGTGTAATTTTGTTTAATTTGTAATCTTGTATGATTTCTTATGTAAATTCTGCGGGTCAGCAATTAGAATAATTTTTAGTCAGTTTAGTAGCAATGGTTTAAGTTTTAAGGGAGGGGTAAAGATCTGATAAGGGCAATTAGTTTTACCCCTTTTTGCCATTAACACCTCTAAATTAACTTATTGATTCCTTGTGGCATCATGGAATACTTGCAGTTGAGTTGATGCCATGCAAGTTAGCTCTAAATCTTATTAGATTTCACTTTGTTTACAGCTTTGCTAATGCCCCAGAATCTGCTCGAATGGATTGGTCCGCATTCACCAAGGGCTACTTCTTGAATAGAGAAACTCTGGTTGCCGTCCTACTTCTAATTGATGCGAGTGTACCACCTCAGAAGATCGACCTTAACTGTGCTAATTGGCTTGGACGGAACAATGTATGCTCTTATCTAATTTTTAGCTACTTTCCGATCCTCTTTCTGTCAGCAATACTATCAATGGTATGAGGCTAAATCCTGTCCTTTCCCTTGACTTTTATGCCTTTTTGTGCCTTCATCTTTCAGATACCAATGACTTTTGTTTTCACAAAATGCGACAAGATGAAGGGTAAGGGGAAAAGGCCTGATGAGAACATCAAAAATTTTCAAGAGCTGATGAGAGAAAATTACCGGGAACATCCTGCATGGATAATGACCAGCAGTAACACTGGTTGGGGCAGAGACGAGCTTCTTTTGCACATGTCACAACTACGGAACTTTTAGGATAACTAGTACATCCTAGTCAAACCTTGCAATTTGTCCTGTTCTGGAAATGGTAACTCCAAAACCTAGTGATTTCATATATTGATTTGCCAATTAAACATATAATGTTGAAAGTATCCTCAGGAATTGCTCGATTGCTTAAATTTTGTAAGCATTGATTTTTTCTGTGGTGGGGTGTAAATTCCTTTATATGTACATGCTTAATTTGTGTTATACATTTCTCAAAAGCATTATCTTTTACTATTTTCTTTTACCGTTTTTTTATTTTATTTTTGAACGTCATCATGAAATCTTCTTGTATAAATTTAGCTACTATTTTGTAGCTGTTGATGCTTGCTTTACTTTGATCAGGAAGATTGTTTTTGAAGATGATGAGGATCAAGGCATCGTACAAAGGGCTTGGGAAGGTCTTATTCCAAACCGTATTTTGATATATTGCTTGTAAGTGCTCTTTTGTTTCTAGCAGCTCTTCTTGATCTTCTCCACCTTTTGTTTCTAGCCGCTCTTCTTGATCTTCTTCATTGTGAACAGTGAGTGGATCTGCAACAAAAGTTGGGAAGTCTAACACCAATGCGAATAGGGCTTCCTTGGGAGAGAGGTTGTATGCCTTGATTAACAAGGATTCTAGAAACGAGGACACATCTGATAGTGAACATAAGCAAACCCTGCCTGACAAGCATGTTGGAAAGGAAATGAGCAGTTCAATGCCTCTAGATGATGATAGAAAACAGAGGTAACAGACATTTATTACATCATCTCATTGTTACATTGTGTTTATGTCTCTTTGCTGATTAGTCTGTGAGTATTTGAAATTTATTTGATTTCTGTAGGTTACCATTAAATGTATTAGTATTTTAGCTAATCATGAAAGAAAATCATTGACTCTCATGATTTTCTTGTGTGGTGGGATATGTACTTGATAACTTTGAAGGATGGTCTTGGGTTCATATATTTTTCAAATGTTGGGGTTTTCTTGTCAAAGGTTTCCCATTTGTTAGCTTCTACATTTTAAAAATGTTTTATTTTTCTAATTGGTGGTAGGTTACTTCAACTACAGGTCCCAGGTTTGGTTAATGTTGACTTTGCAAATGTGCGAGCTATCATGGAAAATGCAGGGTCATCTCTAATGGGAATAGGAACTACAACTGGTAAATTAAGTGGATCTTTGTTTGCTGACTTTTTTCTATTTACCAAATGCTTTATAGATCTCAAGAAAGGAGCAAAGGAGGTTCAAGAAAAGAATGAAGATAGAGCTAATACGGGCTAATATGGGAGGGAGGATTGAGTTCTTACTTGCATGATATTTTCGGAATTGTTGGTTTTCTATATTTTTTTTTCCTGCTTTTAACTTTATTTTTCTGTTTAATATCTGAAATTTCTGGTTTTTTCTCATAGCATGATCAAATTAGGAAGATGAGGAAAGTAGACCAATTTTTTTTGGGTACAAGAAAGAAGTTGACATGCATGCCTATATTGATAAATTGTTAGTTTCTTATTCCTTTGCAGGCAAGAGATGCTGCATTGAATGCCATTCAATCACCTTTATTAGATGTTGGTATAGAAAGAGCTACTAGGATAGTCTGGAACATAACTGGAGGAAGCGATCTCACTCTATATGAGGTAGGTTTTTATTCATTATTTCAACTTAGTGGGAATTCATGCACATTAATATGGGGCCATAAGTGAGGTTGTCTAACTTTTGTATGTTGTCACATGGATCCCAAGAATCATATGCTTGAGACCAATAGGAGATGCAAAATGCATTGTTTCCTCATGTTGATAAATTTGCAAAAGTTTTCTTTCTTCTTAGAATTTAATGGCAATAAATTTTTGAAATTGTTTAGTCAAGATGATTTTTGTATTGATGCTTTCAATAAATGATGGCATCAGATGATGTTTTTCAATCCTTGTTATGGAAATGATGAGCTTTGAGCAGCTACTCAATTTTGCTTTTGGTAGTAAGTGAATTGTGTGATCTCTTCCTTTTGCTTTTCACCAAATATAGGCCTTGGATGAGTGTAGTGAGAACCTCAAGAAATATTTCAGACGTTTGATAATATTATATAGACCTGAAGATTTTGATGTTTGCAAGTGAAGAGAACTAATTAGAAAATGAATTTCCATAAGTCTTTCCCCCTGTTTGTTTGTTATTAAATCCCGCGCCCCACTTTTTTCTTTTCTTAGCTATTTTCATTAGCATGAACTGAACTCCTCCCAAACCTTCCAAATTATAGGGAAAAAAAGAAAAAGAAAAACTGAAGTATGCTATATTATTATGTTTCTAATAAATAATTGATCACATTATTGTTGTGCACCTTTGTTTATGTCTATGATTATATCCCAAGCACTATTGGTTGGTCATGTCATGTGATTGTATTTTGCATGAGTGTTTCTACCTGAAGGGAGGTTTCTCCATCATTTAGAATATTTTCACTAGATAATGCTTCTCTTGCTCCGTTGCTTGCTTATGTGGATGTGGCTTGGAAAATTCACCATATATCTCTATGTTATGCCTTGGGCACAAGTATATTTATGTTCCACTGATTTTGGTCTAAACTTTTGAACATATTTAAGGGTTTAGAAAATGTGGTATGGACATATCATTTCATGATCCTTTTGGCTATTATGGAGTTTCAGTGTTTCATTTGTCTTTGGAATTTCAGGATGATGCAGTGAAGAACTTAGTGACTAAGTTACACTGCAAAAGCTAAACTTGATTTGGTGACACAAGCAAAATCCAAATTTGTTTTGGAGAATAGCAAGGTTCATATATTCAATTCTGATTTTTATAGCTTGAGTGGATGTACATAGATACTAAGGGTAGAGTTTTTTTTTTTTTGTCATTATTATTACTATTTATTTTTTTACCGGCCTTTAAGTGTTTTGTATTGCCTGAAGAGTTGATGTTGCTATTTAGAGAGAACTTCACAAACACAAGTCTGATCAAAGCATACATCTGGAGTTCGATATATTTTTTCTTTTTATTTTTTGATTGTGTTTGTTGTTTGATTTTGGTTTGGAAATAATCATGTAATGTTTATTTAGTCAATATATTGAAATAGCTGTAAAATTTTATTCATATTATTGTTATTTTTCAGCTTTATTACAGGTATATTTTTTAGTTAAATATAACAGATTTAGCACAATTTCAAAAAAAAAAAAAAGTGCTATAACGGCGTTTTTCCAAAACGCCACTACTGTGCCAACGGTCATATTTTTAAAATAGAAAAAAATCTATCACGGCGTTTTTAAAACGTCGCTAAATATTGGATGACGTCATTTTACCATTATTTATGGCATTTAGCGATGTTTTTAAAAACGCCGCCTATATTAATTTAGCGACGTTTTTAAAGCGTCATAATGTTACAGCGACGGCCGCATCTTTGACGTTTGATACTAAACGTCACAAAAAGAATTAGCGACATTTTTTATACTTTTAGCAGCGTTTTTTAAACGCCACTAAATGTAAACTTTCCAGCAGTGAATAGATTTTGGGCAGCACTAAATCCACAACCCTTCTTGATGCATCTAGTCTTCTCTCCCACATGGGTGCACGCAACATGTGAGGATAAGACTCTGGTTCTATCAAATATCAATTTCTTAAAAAAAATTCATGGGCAAATCAACATTCATAATAGTTCTCATCTGACCATACCAAGTGTATCAGATAAAGTAGAGAGATGATAACAGCTGGAAGAAAAATTTCCATGGTTTTTTCACAACATAGAAGGGTACTTTCAATTTATCCAAGTAGTGCCCTAAGGAGAACCTACATGGTGTAATTCAAACTACTTCAAGAATTCAAAGTATTGGACTGTAGTTTTCAGGTAGTTATTTTAAAACATCTGTAGAGGCCGTAATTGCTAAAGCTAAAACCATATGAAAATCAGTTTTATTATTGTGAACAATTAGGGTTTTTTTTCTACCAATAATATGCTTTTAAATTTCTACAGGAAAAGAAAATAACATATCTAGCAATTCCTACCCTTCTTAGGCACAAAATCCTAACCTTTAAACTACCCTAAAAGGGAAAAAGAGAAGAACAAGAGAAAGAAGTTTGAAAATTGTTAGCCCCAAAAATCTCTAACCTAAGGGACTTGTTGACAATCACATAATTTCATCTAAAGTCTGACTCTAAAAGGAAAATGCCAAGCATATGAAATGTCACAATAGCACATTAACTATTATGGAAAACAGCAATAGGTTTCTTTTTTCCCAGTGAACAGGTGTAAATAAGCCACATCAATCTGAATGCAACTTATGTTTTTTGTTTTGTTTATATAGCACTACCATATCTAAAAATGCTTTCTATCTAATGGGAGAAAGAACAAAGAGAGCAATAGCACATATTGCACATGTTAAATTTCTAAATGGATAGTACATATAAATAAATTCTACATATTTAATGACTATTTGAATTACTCATAGGATTACAGATTGAACAGCATAGTAATTAGTCCTAAGCATTGAATGAGGTGGTTTGAAAAACTCCACTTTAATGAAACGGCAGGAGTCAAGAAATCGCAAGATGCATTTTACAGCAGATTGTGGGGAGAAAGAGTTTAGCTTCTTCAAGGTTCTTTCTTCATCCTCTTCCTCTCATATTTAGCAACTCTCCCTCTTTTTCTTTTTCCCCAAACTTTTATCCTTTTAGATTCCTAACATAGTTTTTGGCTTGGTTCATATGCATTGAAGTTTTCGTAGGTTTGTTGATAAATTCATAACATTTTAGAGCCATGTGTAAAGGGTTTTGGATTGCTCTTGCTCCTCTATGTGCTTCTGGGCGTACGCTTCTCGTGTGTTCCTTTGTCTCATAGGTTTTTGTTAGAATTTGGACGCCCATGTGGCATGACCCTCAGAACCTTTTGAACTTGAACCTTTTGAACCTTATCCAAATGGGTTTTGAATTTGAATTCAAACCTATTTGGATAGCCACTCAGGATATATATCTATCATATCATGATATGGATAGATGATATAGATATCAGATATTATCTCATATAACAAATATGGATAAATGAGATAAATAGATTATATATCTGATATATGGGATATGGGTGATTAAGTGAAAAAGAACGTATGTTTGAGTTTTTCCCATATACTGACTCTCTCCCAAAAACAACGATCAAAGCCATTTGCACTGTGGTTTGTGTGGGTGTTATTCACTATTATAATATCACCCCATTGCTGGGTTGATTGACCAGACTCAGGAAGCACGTGATTTACCCACGAGATCCTTCAATTCAGACTCTGTTTGAAAGGTATGACCATAATTTTTATTCCGCTGCGTTATACTTTGTTTTCATTGGTATCAGAGCGATGATGGATATTTTCGTGTTTCCTTTAATCATGTGTATATTTTTATATGTATATGTATACATTATATACATGAATGTTTGTAAAGGAGAAAAAAAATCTACTTTTATTAGATTAAGAGCATAAATATTTTTTTTTTATGTTCATTAATGTCTTTTTTAATACCATAAATGGTTTTATTTTGAAAAAATGAGTCCGGCAATACAAAAATCGGACCAGAAAACACCCTGGAAGGCGGCGCGTGGTCTGCACGCGCCACCTGACGCCATGAGCTACTCCCACGCGCTGCCATGCGCCAGCTGCCCAACCGACGCGCCTGCACACGCCCTCACGCACGCGTCAGCGGCGTTGTCCACGCGCGCCGTGCCCTCCGCGCCACGCACGCGCGCCGTGCTCTGAGCCGCGAGATTAGGAGTGCACCGAGCCGCGGACTGAGCCACGCTCTGAGTCGCGCCGTTTTCCTCCGCCGGCTCGGCTAGCTTGGCTACTGATGTATTAGGCGCTGTTTGTTTTGTTTTTAATTGGTACCCTGGAGAGTCGGCTCTGATACCATTTGTAAACAAAGTATAACGTAGCGGAATAAAAAATTATGGTCATACCTTATAAACAGAGTCTGAATTGAAGGATCTCGTGGGTAAATCACGTGCTTCC